GCACATTTTATTAAAAGTATTAAAATATTTCTCTTACACTATAATCTTTTCGGGCCCACAACTCAGCAGTTCTTTGAAAACATATATGGAAAACACATCCATTTTAACATTACAAAATGTAAAGTAGAATCTAATGACAGGAATAACCCTACAAGAACACTACGAATTTTTTCTCTTACGTTATATCCAACCGACAATGTTTTTAAATGATTTAAAATAAACATTCAATCAAGTGTCTTTTGGGGGGGCTTGAAGATCCAATTCACTACATAGCTTAGTGACCAAAGTTATTAACAGTACAGGAAATCCTCAGGATTAGTCTGATGCTCGCTTGTTTGAACAACTCGTCCTTCTTCAATGTGAAAGGAGCACAAAGCTTGGTTTTAATCATTAGTTTTGAAATTAGTTCAGTGCTAAAAGCTGAATGATTTCAAATCATGCTGTTTTATTTCCCAACATTAACTCCTTACACGTTTAATAAAACGTAATCCATTTCCATAGCAAATAAAAAGTAGCCTTCAGGCACCTGGGGGAGAAAAACTATTGTTTTATCATCCTGCACTGGTGGAGTAACCGCTCGAGGAACCTTACCAGAACACGTGGTCTAAAAGAAAAGCTCGCCTCTCCTCGCCACAACAGAACCACAACCGAACCACAACCGATCGCTAAACAGCCATCAAGAAAAAAGCCTAGAGCCTGGCAAAAAGGATCTGCTTCAACTGGAAACACAGAGGGGCAACCACAGCAGGACAGTAGGAGGGGCGGGCTCACTATATAATCGGGCCCCATCCCTCCAGTGGGCGACCCACAAGCTGAAGAATAATTAAGTCACAGAGGCCCTCCCATAGGAGTCAGCGCTCTGAGCCCCACGTCAGGCTCCCCAGCCCGGGCCCCGGCATTGGGAGAGGGAGAGCCCAGGACATCTGGCTGTGAAGGACGGGGGGCTTAACTCCAGGAGCCCCACGGGACTGGGGGAGACAGAGACATCCTTCTCTTGGGAAGCGCACACAGAATCTCACACGCACCAGGGCCAAGGGCAGAGGCAGTGATTTCATAGGAACCTGGGCCAGACCTGGCTGCTGGTCTTGAAAGGTCTCCTGGGGAGGTAGGGGATGGCTGTGGCTCACCCAGGGGACAAAAAAAGCCGGTGGCAGACATTCCGGGAGTGTTCATCAACAGGGGCTTTCCTGGAGGCTGACATCTTGATTGAATCATTAGCACCAAGACCCAGCCCTGCCAACAGCCTGCAGGGAAGCCTCAGGCCCACCAACATACAGGGTGGGAACACAGCCCCACCCGTCAGCGGACTTCCTGAGCCACAAAGGCCTCTAGACACAGCCTTGCCCACCAGAGGTCTAGGACCGAGCTTCACCCAGCAGTGGGCAGGCACCAGCTCCTCCTGCCAGAAACCCACGTAAGCCTCTAGTCCAGCCTCAGCCATGAGTGGGCAGATACCAGACATAAGAAAACAACAATCCCAAAGCCTGTGGAAGGAATCCACAAACACGGGCACTGGGACCAGGACCGGCTGGCCCCTGGGTGACAAGAGGATTGTACCGCTGGGACACACAGGACGCCTCCCACAGAGGGCCACTTCTCCAAGGTTGAGAAACATAACTAACCTACCTAAAAATACGAACAGAAAGACAGACAAGTCGAGGTGGCAGAGGATTATCTTCTAGGACAAGGTATAAGGTTAAATCTCAGAAGCAGTAAGTGATGAGATGACAGGTAATTTATCTGAGAAAAGAGTTTAGAGTGATGATGGTGAAGATGTTCAGAGACCTCAAGAGAAGTGTAGGTGCACAGAACGAACTTTGCAGCAAAGAGTTGGAAAATAAAAAGAAGAGCCAAACAGAGTTGAAGAATAAAATCACTGAAATGAGTAGCACACTAGAAGGAACCAAGAAAAGACTAAATGAGATAGAAGAATGGATCAGTGAGCTAGAAGATTAGTGGAAATCACTACTGCAGAACAGAAAAAAGAATGAAAAGAAATGAGGATAGTTTAAGAGAACTCTGAGACAACGTGAAGTGCACTAATGCTCACGTTACATGGGTCCCAGAAAGAGAAGAGAGAGAGAACCTGAGAACATTTTTGGAAAGAGAATAATTGAAAACTTTCGTAACTTGGGAAAGAAAAAGTCACCCAAGTCCAGGAAGCGCAGAGAGTACGACACAGGATCAACCCAAAGAGGAGCACAGCAAGGCACACAGTCATCAAACTGACAGAGATTAATGATATGGAGAAAATACTAAAATCAGCAAGAGAAAAGCAACAAATAACACACAAGGAAGCTCCCATAAGGCTATAAGCTGATTTTTCAGCAGAAACCCTTCAGGCCAGAAGGGAGTGGCACGATATATCTAAAGTGATGAAAGGGAAAAACTTAGAACCAAGAATCCTCTATCCAGGAAGGCTCGCATTCAGATTTGATAGAGAAATCAAAAGCTTCGCAGATAAACAAAAGCTAAATGAATTCTGCACCACCAGACCAGCATTACGACAAATGCTAAAGGAACTTCTACAGTCATCAAAGCACAAGAAAAGAGAAAAGAAAGGGGAAAAAAGAGTCCCACAAGAACGAAGTCAAAACAATGAACAAAATGGCAGTAAGAACACATCTATCAATAATTACCTTAAATGTAAATGGATTAAATGCTCCAACCAAAAGACACAGCCTGGCTGAATGGATACAAAAACAAGACCCACATATATGCTGTCTACAAGAGACCCACTTCAGAGCTAGAGACACGTAAGGGCTGCAAGTACGGGGATGGAGAAAGATATTTCATGCAAACGGAAGAAAGCTGGAGGAGCAATACTTGTATCAGACAAAACAGATTTTAAAATAAAGACTGTTACAAGAGACAAAGAAGGACACTATGTAGTGCTCAAGGGATCAACCCAAGAGGACACACCAACTGTAAACACACATGCACCCAACACAGCAGCACCTCCGTGTAGGACAACTGTTAACAGACGTGAAAGAGAAATCGACAGCAACACAGTAACAGTGGGGGACCTCAACACCCCACTTACACCAAGGCACATGGGACAGGAGGGAGGGGGCAGGCACAGCCGTTCAAGGAATGACAGCACTGACACCAAAATGGTGGAAGATTCAACTCCCAGGTGGCCTTGAAGATGAAGATGGTAGGAGGTTTGACGTCCAGTACACCTTGAGCTTCATTATACGCTCATAACACATTAGCATGATAAATAAGACACCCACAGGCACCTGACAGTCCCAAGGCTGACCACAAGAGGTCAAGTGGGCAGTGGCCCAGTTTCTGGGAACCGCAGCCCCCTCCCCAGGGCAGCTGGAATAGTCCTCCCACTCGTAGGGTGCGAGGCTACCAAGCCCGTAAGAGCTGGCACCGCCACGCCGCTCTCTCGCTCCCTCCTCCGGCACTGTCTGTGGAGTGTGTATCTACTTTTACTTTAACCTTAGCACCTAACCCCACACCTCATGGCCTTTGTCTTGCCTTTTCAAACAGCCTACACCCTATGCAGTATGTATCTCTCTAAATAAATCAACCTTTACTCAACTGTGGCTTGCTCTTGAATTCTTTCCTGCATGAAGCCAAGGACCCACACCTGGCAGGGGGCACCCCAGGGACTCAACCGAGGCCTGGGACACAGCCCTCCTCATGCCCCATGTCTGTTTTTCCTGCGTCAATCATCCAGACAGAAGACCAATAAGGAAATACAGGCCCTAAATAAATAACACATTAGACCAGATGGATCTAACATATCTCTAGAGCATTCCACCCAAAACAACAGAATGCACGTTCTTCTCAGGTGCACGTGGAACACTCTCGAGAATCAACCACACGCTGGCCCACAAAGCCAGCCCCAGCAAATTTAAGAAAACTGAAATCTTACCAGGCATCTTTTCCAACCACAATGCTGTAAGGTTAGAAATCACCTATGAGAAAAACTGCAAAAACTGCAAACACATGGAAGCTAAACAATGCGCCACTAAACCACCAATGGATCTCAGAAGAAATCAAAGAGGAAATCAAAAAACACTGAGACGAAAACACAACAATCCAAAACCTCTGGGACACATGAAAAGCAGTTCTGAGGGAAGTCTATAGCGGTACAAGCCTACCTCAGGAACCAAGAAAAATGCCAAATAAACAGCCTAACCTTACACCCAAAGCAGCTGGAGAAAGAATAAACCCCGAAGTTGGTATAAGAAAAGAAATCATAAGGAGCAGAGCAGAAACAAATGAAATAGAGACTAAAAAAACAGAAAAGATCAATGAAACTAAAAGATAACTTTGAAAAGATAAACAAAATTGATAAACCTTTAGTCAGACTCTTCAAGAAAAAAAGAGGGAGGGCCCAAATTAATAAAATCAGAAATGAAAAAAGTTACAATCGACACCACAGACATACAAGGGATCACAAGAGCATGAGCAACTATATGCCAACAAAACGAACAACATTGAAGAAATGGACAATTTCTTAGAAAGGTACAGTTTGCCAAGACTGAACCAGGAAGACAATGTGAACAGACCAATCACCAGCACTGAAACTGAATCAGTAACTGAAAACCTCCCAGCAAACCGAAGTCCAGGATCAGATGGCTTCACAGGTGAATCCCACCAAATGTTTAGAGAAGAGTTAACACCTATCCTTCTGAAACTATTCAAAAAAACTGCAGAGGAAGGAACACCTCCAAACTCATTCTATGAGGCCATCTTCACTCTGATACCAAAACCAAAGATATCACAAAAAGGGAAAATTACAGCCCAATATCACTTATGAATATAGATGCAAAAATCCTCAACAAAATACTAGCGAATCAACTCCAACAATGCATTAAAAGGATCATACACCATGATCAAGTGGGATTTGTCCCCGGGAAGCAGGGAGTTTTCAATATACGCGTATCAATCAGCATGATACACCACATTAACAAACTGAATAAAAACTATATGATCATCTCAATAGGTGCAGAAAAAGCTTTTGATAAAATTCAACATCCATTTATGATCAAAACTCTCTGGAAAGAGAGCATAGACAGACATACCTCAACATAATAAAAGCCACATGTGACAAACCTGCAGCTAACGTCGTACTTAATGGGGAAGGCTGAAAGCATCCCCACTGAGATCAGGAACAAGACAAGGGTGCCCACTCTCACCATTTTTATTCAACATAGTTTTGGAAGCCCTAGCCACAGCACTCAGAGAAGAGTAAGAAATAAAAGGAATCTCAATTGGAAACGAAGAAGTAAAACTGTCACTGTTTGCAGATGACGTGATACTATACACAGAAAACACTCAAGAAGTGACCAGAAAACTACTAGGACTCATCAGTGAATTTGGTAAACTTGCAGGATACAAAATTAACATACAGAAATCAGTTGCATTTCTATACACTAACCAACAAAATAGCAGAAAGGGAGATTAGACAAACAACACCATTTACCACTGCACCAAAAAGAATAAACACCTCGGAATACATCTACCCAAGGAGGCAAAAGACCTGGATGCCGAAAACTGTTAAGACACTGATGAAGGAAACTGAAGACAACATAAACAAATGGAAAGATACACTGTGTTTTTTGAGTGGAAGAATCAATATTGTTAAAATTTACAGATTCAGTGCAGTCCCTATCAAATTACCAATACATTCTTCACAGAGCTGTGACAAAAAATGTTAAAATTCATATGGAAACAGAAAAGACCAACCCCAAACAGCCAAAACAATCTTGAAAAAGAAGAATGAAGCTGGAGAATCATGCTCCCTGACTTCAGATTATACTACAAAGCTACAGTAATCAAAACAGGATGGTACTGGCACAAAAATAGACACATAGATCAACGGAACAGGATAGAAAGTCCAGAAATAAACCCACACTTATGGTCAATTAATCTATGACAAAGGAGGCAAGAATACACACAATGAAGCAAAGACAGTCTCTTCAATAAGCAGTGCTGGGAGGCTGGACAGCTGCTTGTAAAACAATGAGATCAGAACATTCCCTCACACCACATACAAAAACAAACTCAGAATGGACTGCAGACCTAAACGTAAGAAGAGATGCTATAAAACTTCTAGAGGAAAACACAGGCAGAACACTGTGACATAAATCACACCAATATTTTTCTTTGAACCAGCTCCTAGAGTAACAGAAGTAAAAGCAAAAATTAACAAATGGGACCAAATTAAACTTAAAAGCTTTTGCACAACTAAGGATACCATCAACAAAACAAAAAGACAACCTACAGAATGGAAGAAAATATTTGCAATTGATGTGACTGACAGGGGACTAATTTCCAAAATATACAAACAGCTCATACACCTTAATATCAAAAAACCAAGCAACCCAATCCAAAAATGGGCAGAAGACCAAAACAAGCAATTCTCCAATGAAGACAGACAAATGGCCAAAAGGCACATGAAAAAATGCTCAGCATCGCTAATTGTCAGAGAAATGCAGATCAAAACTACAATGAGATTCCACCTCACACCAGCCAGAATGGCCATCGTTAAAAGTCTACAAACAATAAATGCTAGAGAGGGTGTGGAGAAAGAGGAACCCTCCTACACTGCTGGTGGGAGTGTAGACTGGTGCAGCCACTATGGAGGACAGTATGGAGGGTCCTTAAAAAACTAAAAAGACTTACCATGTGATCCAGCAATCCCACTTCTGGGCATATACCCAGAGAATAATAAAATTCAAAGAGACACATACACCCCAGTGTTCACAGCAGCACTATTTACAATAGCCAAGACATAGAAACAACCCAAATGTCCATCAACAGATGACTGGATAATGATGTGGTACATATATACAATGCAGCACTACTCAGCCAGAAAAAGAATAAAATAATGCTATCTGCAGCAACATGGATGGACCTGGAGATGGTCATTCTAAGTGAAGTGGGCCAGAAAGAGAAAGAAAAATGCCGTATCACTTATAGGTGGAATCTAAACAAATGTTTTAAAAACAAGGGCATACACACACAAAAAGATCCCAGAAGCCACACAGCAGGCCAGGGCCAGGGCCAGGGCGGTGAGTGCAGATGCCCTTTCTCGTCTACTTCTCACAGATTTCGCAAAGCTGTGCTGTTGCTTTTATATCAGAGAAAAGTTAAAACTGAAAGCGTCCAGTATCCTCTCGCTACGCCAAAAGGGAGAACAGCAGTCGCACCACAAAACCTCGCAGTCGTCATTCTGCACTTAGAAACAGAACTGCTCTCAGGGCGAAGTCTCCAGTTTGGGTCCTAAAGCCTTACTACGATTCTAGAATTTCCCGTCTTGGAAAACTCTATCCCCGAGGAACAATCAGAGCTTAAGCGTGTGCCCCTGACACCAGGTGGCAGAACCAAGATGACGCCTTTCGACGGCGACACTGACGAGCGGCGGTGCCCACAGACCCACGCCGTGAAACGGGGAGTGGATCATCTCCACCGCGGAACAGCACCTCCGGGCCCGAGGCAGGCAGCGCCCGCGCCATGGGCCGTGCTCAGCCCCTGGAGGGGGCTGCTCCGGGGATGTGGCGGGCAGGAGGCCCCAAAGCCCAGGCCCTCGCGAGGAGCTGACATTCCACACCTCCCAGAGCTCGAGCCAGCTTCGCTCTCCCGCCTTCCCAGCCCTCAGCAGAGGAGCAGCAGATTCACAGAAGCGGCAAAGGGGTCGCAGTGCCAGCAGCAACAGCAGGGAGGGGACACGGCCCGCGGCTCCCAGGACAGTGGTGGCACCGCGGGTCCAGTCAAGCTGCACCCTCGACTAAGCAAGGACCTAGTGCGACTCAAAGATCACCATGGAAACGGCTTTAAGAGATTATTTTGCTGCCTAAAAATTCAGACCCCCAAAGTAACAAGTCTTTTGGCAACGGTGTTTAACTTTTTTTTAACAGTGCTTAATTTTTATAAACCTTATGATCTGATTAAGTTGTTGGGACTGATACTGGCAATGATCTTGCAACTAATAGCTAATATTACTACTGACCTTTGTAATTGTTTTCACTTGGTGTTAAAATTTGGATAAAAATTACACATATATTTAAAAATCAACTTTATCACGTCAGTTTTAAATAAAATGTATTTCTTTAAAAAAAAATTAACACCCACAAAAAAAACCAATGTAGTCCTACCAAACTTACCCAAGACTTATCAAGTGTTTGTTGGAGATTCTATTAAAACAAAATTTAAACGGGAAGCCCCACTAAAACCAGGCCATTAGATCTGAAAAATATCTTACTGTAATAATAACATTTTCATAGAATTTGACCAACTTCAAATTTACCAATCTAGGCCTTTGTGAATGCTAGCCAATATTAAAATCAGTCCAATGTTAGCAGCTTAGTGACTACAGTGAGATGATATAAACTAAAACAGAGCTGAAGAGGTCAGAAAAATAGCCTTTAATGATTTCTCAAGTCCCAGAGGGAGGATTATAGCCAAACATCAAAGCCGTGTCGCCAGAGCAGCTCTGGCTGGAAGGTACAAGCACAGGTGGTTCACGGGAAACAGGGCGTCGGCCTCTTCCGAGCACACGTGACTCGGAGCTGCCGCCTTCAACTCACCGGAAACCAGTCACGTCACACACGGGGCCACCGCCAGGCACTTACCTTGCAGACGAAGGCTACCACCAAGGAGGGGTCCCTGCCAAGTGTCCTCTGGCCAACACCTGAGGAAAAACAAAGCAAGCCATGACACGGTGAACGCGCAGGTGCCCAGGTGTCTAACACCTCGGCTGACCGCACACAGCTGGACACAAGCGCCCTGGGGCGAGGCCGGAGGAGCGCCCCTGTTCCTCCTCAGGCAGGGCTGCTCTCTTTCCTGCTCCTGTCAAGATCTGAGTAAACGCAAACGCACAACTCCAACCAGAAAAACTTCAGAACGGCAAGCGAAACACTTAAAAAATGACACATTTTATCTAGAAGTGGAGAAGGGGGGGGGGAGAATGCTGCGGTGTGCTTTACAAAAAAGCATAATGTGGGAAAAACACAAAAACTACAGCCTGCAGAGGCGACGTGGGTGGGGGCCCACAGGGCTGGCCCCTTCCCAGCCATCAGGGCCATCAGGTGGACACGGCCCCGGGGCACAGAGAGGGACTTATCAGCCGTGCTCAGCCCTGACCCCTGCAGCCTCAAGCTGCACGGATACAGCTCCTCTTGGAACCTGAGTTCAGATTCCTAGTAGGCTGTCCTTCTGGAAGGGAAGGGGCAAATCCATTCACTGAGGTGACTCATCAGCTTGGCAGTTAGTTTCCGCACTAATGAAAAATTAACTTGCATTCCTGTTGCCTTCATGAGAAACCAAAAAAATTCACCGCACCTTCCTTGGGCTGCTAACGTTAACTGCGAGGGAGCTTCCTCTCTGGGTGTGCAGTTCTGTAAATCGGATGGGTTCACGTACAAAGAAGTGATCTTGACTTGGGGATGATACTGACTTTCTACACGTGAAATGGGAATGCAAAAAAAATCCAAAGACTCTAATTAATTGTAAAGATCTAACAGTTTGTATCGCATAATGAAAGAAACAGTAATTTTGTACCAAATAGAGAGAGAAACACAGAAGCCTCTGCGGGAACCAATCGGCAGGCCACGCCCTCCTCTGGGTAAACTGAGCCCAAAGTTTGGGGCCACCCAGGGCTGCAGGTGGCCCCTAAAGCCCCGGGGGCAGCTACCTTCACAACAACCAGCCTCACTCGCCCCACAGCCGAGTCCTAACAGACAAGAAGAGAGTGTCTGTCCTGCAAGCAGAGCTTTCCTGTAGTGAAGACCGGAACGCAGAGCAGCAGGAGGCAGGGCGAGACTCCTGGCACCACGACCCCTGGACGGGCCACCCACCTTTAGCGGATCCAGCGTCCGGAGAGCGCTCTGGGCTCAGCCGCTCTGGGCTCTGGTGTGTCCCACTGATCCGTTCACCTGGGTGGCAGGGTAAACGAGCAAGTTGCAGTCCACGCCAGGACAGTCACAGCCACAGCCCGAGCTCCGGCGGGGGAAGCCAGGCCCCCAGTCACCGCCCCACCTGGCCTCGATCATCCCCATCTGCAGGCCCCACTCAGCCCCCAGCCTGACTGGCAGGGACTGGCCATGCGTGTGGACAGGGAGTGTGGGGCTGGCCGGCTCACTGGCTAACATCACCCGCCACACAGACCTGTCACGCAAGGGGCCTGGTGGAAGACACCTGGTCCCGGGCCCCTCTGGCCCTGGCTGGGGGCCCCCACCCGCACCCCTCCTGCTCGTGGCAAGCATCAGACCCGCGAGCTGCCCAGGAAACATCCTGACCACCCCGCCCTCCTCTCTCAGCGGGGAAAACCCAGACCGGAGGACAGCCCGTGGCCTCTCACAGCCACGGCAGTCACCTCATTGCAGACCGCATCTCCAAGTCCAGACCACACCACCTGGCCCTGGGATCTGAGAAGGTTCATGAGCCCTTCTGACCCCCTAACGCCTCCACGAGGCTGCCGTTGGTGTTCGTAACACAGTGTATCTGCTCAAACCCCTCCCAAGCCCTATCATCAAATAAACCCCGACAGTGGCCGGCAGACCTGAGGGCCGGGTGTGGCGCGCCCACTGTCACCATGCGCACGCTCACGTGGCCGTTCCCACTGTTACCACGGCCTCAGGGCAGGGACCATGCTTCATTCCCCAGCTAAATGGACTCATCCTGCTCAGAACACAGAATCAGGCGCACAGGGCCAGTGCTACTGTAGCTTCTCTTTCCACCCACGCCCCTCCTGCCCTGGGCCGACAGCTCACACTCACTGTGAATGGGGATCTGGAACACGGTCATTGTGTCGTCCTTGTACTCTGGTGCAGAGTGGGGCCGCACGGCTGCAGGAGAGATCACAGGACAGTGACTGTGCTGTGTGACAATCCACCCTCCAGATCACCACCCACAAGCAACTGAAATGCTCTGGAACTTTGATGGGAATCTGCACTGAAAATCAAAAGTTCTGAGTAAATTAAAAGATTTAGAAAAGAAGAAAAAATGTGTTTTCATCAGCCATTAATATTTAAGAGAGGCCATCGACAGACGACTGGCCAAAGAGGCTGTGGTGTATTTATACAATGAAATACTACTTAGCCATAAAAAATAATAATGCCATTTGCAGCAACATGGATGGCGCTAGAGATCATCATTCCAAGTGAAGTAAGCCAACAAGAGAAAGAAAAGTAGCATATGGTATCACTTATATGTGGAATCTAAAAAAAAAAAAACAACAAACTTAAACAGAAACAGAGTCACAAAGAAAACAATCTTATGGTTACGGGAGGGGGGAGCGGGTGGGAAGGGATAAATTGGGAGTTCGAGATTTGCAGATACTAACTGCTGTATATAAAATAGATACACAAGTTCATACTGTAGAGCACAGGGAACTATACTCAATACCTTGCAGTAACTTATGGTTAAAAAGAACATGAAAACGAATATATGTATGTTTCTACAAAACTGAAGTATTGTTCTGCACACCAGAAACTGACACATTGTAAACAGACTATACTTCAATAAAAATATATTAAAAAAAAATTCACGACAGCCAAATGAGAAGACCTGCTCTGATCGCTGGTGACTCCCTGCTAAAAAACAAAGCGATACTTAAGAGACACAAGCTCACGTGCAGCACTGGGAGGCCGGCAAGCCCATCCCCTCAAGTCTGAGCTGGTGTGCGTGTGGAAACAAATGGATGAAGCACTGGATTCTAAGGTTTAGTTACTTTTATGGATGTGGATTTTTTTTTAACTTTTTGTGGGGGGGGTGCAATTAGGTGTTTTTTTTTTAAATGGAGGTTCGAACCCAGGACCTTGTGCATGCCAAGCATGCATTTCACCACTGAGCTGTGCCCTCCCCTTACGGATTCTAATGTGAGAGTCTGGGACACAAAAAAGAAACAGCAGACAATTCACCATACTCAAGCACATACCCAGGTCTATTCCTTTCAATGGCCCCGAGAATATTTTGATAGCTTCTAGGTACTTCTCCTACGAAAGAGTAATAAAAAAGTGAGCAGTCAGGGTTACAAATGGAGGCCACAGCCACACATTCAAGGACATGAGAGGAAGCAAAGGCACCAACATCAAACACAGCTCAGAAGGTATCCTGAACATCCTCCGTACAAGTATCTCAGGAGTGTCCACCACATCAGACGCCAAGGAGTCGGCAGTGCATGGGGCCCCTGCCCTCATGAAACTTGGAATCCAGGGCAGGAGACAAAGATCAAACAAGGGGCGACAAACGGCAACTAGCAGCAGCCTCACCCCATGTGCTGCAAACTGACAGTCACTGGTTACCAGGCTGGGCTCCAGCCTGTCTGGGGAGTTGGGGCGGCTCCTGAGCAGACACCAGTTAGCCGAGCCCCGAGTTCAGAAGGACACAGGCCGGGTGAGCAGGGGGAGGAGTATGGACGAAGCCCTGAGATGGTCAGGGGCTTCAGGAAGAGCTGAGAGTCAGCCATGCAGCCCGCGGGGTGATGGGGGCACAGACACCCGGGAGGCAGGGGCCAGGCCCGCAGGAGCTGGGGGCCACACTGAGGGGTCTGGATTGTAATGCAGTGGAGACCCTCAAGGGTTTTAGGATGGAAGGGACCTGCCTGCAGTTATGCTTGACCAAGGCCACTCGGCCGCTGTGGTGGATGATCACAGGGAGGCCAGCCCGGGCGTGAGAAGCGACTGCAGGAGGAGACACGGGGAGGGGTGTGAGGCGTTACTCTGGAAACAGAATTTACAGCGCTTGGAGACTGGGTGCCTTTTATCTCAGGAACTGGGAAATGAACCCTTATGTTTAGTGGTTTTAACAACGTGCACACAACTTCTCAATAGTGCAGTAAGCGGGTTTGGAAGGTGGGAAGATGTCTGAAGCTTAATAAATAAATAATAGGACACTATGAACTCATCTATAAAACAGAAACAGACTCTCAAACTTAGAAAACAATCTTATGGTTACCAGGGAAAGAGGGTGGGAGGGGATAAATTTGGGAGTCTGAGATTTACAAATATCAGCCACTATACATGAAAATAACTTTAAAAAAAATTTCCTTTGTATAGCACGGGGAACTACACTCAATATCTTGTAATAACCTTTAATGGAAAAAATACAAAAATATATGTATGTATATGCAAGACTGGGACACTGTGCTGTACATCAGAAATGGACACATTGTACTTCAAGTAAAAAAAATAAATAAAAGCTAACACATACTGTGCCCACCTGGTGTGAAATACCTAAAGTGACTCAGTGCTTTGCAGCTGGTATCTCATTTTTTTTAAACAGGTTTATTCATTTATTTCTGTTTGGAAGCAGTACTGGGGATTGAACCCAGGACCCCTTGTGTGCTGAGCATGCGCTCTACCACTTGAGCTATACCCTCCCTCGAGCGGGCACTCATTTGAGCCTTAACACCTGTGAGCCATTTCACAGGTGAAGCAGCTCTGAGAGTAAGGGAAGGAATTTGTTCAATATCACACGGTTAATGAGGTTTTGGACTCAGGCGTCTTTCACTTGAAAGGTGAAATGTTTACTCCACCATCAGTTATCTCTGGAGGGCAGAGGACTGATGTGGAAAGATGGAAATGCTTGCTACTCACATTAAAATGGGGGTGGAGGGTCAGCTTTGACAGCTGAGTCAGGAGAGACTCACCAGTTGTGGAGGCCCAGAGAGTACACACTTTGGAAGCCCGGTTTCCTTTAGAGTCAGAATCATTCCTAAAAAAGGACGAAATAAAATCAAATCTCTCATCACCTGCCACTGCCGCCAGAAAGCATGCTCCTGACTTAACAGGCTCTTTTTCTCCTCATTCCAGCTTCTAGTCATTAGGGACCATGTGCAGAGCAAAGTGGTGCTGGCCAGAGGCTGGAGGGACACCAAACACCACTCAAATGCCCCTGAAACGGGCAGGACTTGATACCAAGGTGAGGTACGGAGGCTGCACAATCACAGCAAGTCAAAGGAAGGCCAGAACAATTCTGCACCCTGGGCGCCTCCTTGCTCACCTCTCAGCTCCGGGAGTGAGACTGGTTCCCACCCACTTCACACATCGTACAGAATATGATGGCAAAACAATCTTGACCTTCCTAACTGATGGGCATAAATGGGGTGACCTGGAGAGGGGGCATCTGTGTGCAGCTGATGGTCCCAATGGTCATTATACTTCCTGTAATCACCACCACTATACTCTCCAGGTGACGTCCCAGAGCGGGTCCAGCGACTCAATAAAGGAGGCGGCTGGTACCGCCTAAAAGCAGCGTCCCCGTTAAAAGTCTACTCCTCTGAGTCACACCTGCCCCAGAGGACTGGGCTGGTATAAAAGACTCCAGCTCCCCTGGACTCCAAAGACTGGCAAATAAAAGAAGGGGGGTGGGGGACAAGGCAGGTTAAAATCCTAGAGATTCCCCTGCAACCTCTGACCTCAAAAAGAATACACTCACCACACAACCCGCCAACATTATACCAGTGCATTCGGGTCAGGAATATGTTGTCCAAACGTGACACCTTCAGCCTAAGAAAGAGAAAACATTTAAGGAGGACGGAACAGACCAGGGACCTTCTCTTCCTCTCTAAAAACCCTCCTGCCTCAAGCCGCAGAATCACGTCCACCCCACAAGAAAATGTTGACTCACTTGTGCTCCTGCATCAGTCGCTGGACGCCTTCCCCACAGTTGAACAGATACCTGGGAGAACGAGCATTGGAGGAGACAGTCAGGAGATTCGAGCCTGTAAAACCTCTGCCACCGTCTAGATGCCTTGTCGCACGCCGAGGGGGGAAACCACCAAATACCCATGTTGGGCTACCGGCTGCATCTCTGCTACCAGGACGCTGGGTCTGAACCCTCCTCAGCAGAGGCGGGGAGGGAGCTGGGGCCTGTATAGCTAGTGCTGGGGCGAGGTGGGTCCTGTCCCCATCACCGCCCCAGCGGACCTGCCCAACCCGCACGCCAACTGTGGGGCCCGAGTGTCGGGAAGCACGGGACGGGGTGCGGCTAGAGAGCTCCAGGTGGGCACTCGGCCCCAGGCTGGGGAGGGAACGCTCATACACAAGTGTGGAGTGCCCTGGGGCCTCCGAGAACCACACAGACGCAGGATGCAGGGAGTCGAGGACCCGGCACCCACACCGTGAAGCGGGGGAGCGAGGCGCAGGCAGGCGCCCCGGTGCTGCACGCAGGCCGGCGGGGCCTGGCTCGGCAAGGGGACCCGCGGGCCGGCGCGGCGCACTGACCGGTTGTACTCGGAGAAAACGTAGAGCGCGGCGCCCGCGTCCCGGCCGCCGGCCGCCACCACCTGCAGGTACACGGTGTTCGGGCCCCCGGGCTCCCACGACGGGCCGCGCTTCTCCCGCGTGCGCAGGTGCCGCAGCGGGTCCTTGGGCGGCCGCGGGCGGCGGGCGGGCCCCTGCGACATGGTGCGCCCGGCCGCGGCCCGCAGCAGCAGCAGCGAGCGGAGCGACCACATGCGCCGCCTCCTCGCGGCCCGAGCGCAGCCGGCCGCCTTCGTCTGTGTGCGCCGCGTGCACCGCCCCTCCGCCCGCGTGGTGGCCTCGGCCAATCAGCGCGCCGCAATCCGAGCCGCCCGCCTAAGCGAGGCCGCGCGTCCAATGGGGAGGAGCCTTGCCGCTCCCGACTGGTCAATTGGCGCGGCCATAGAGAGAAGGAACGCTAGAGCGGCCCAGTCCCGGGTCTTTTTCCGGCTTTCCGCGGGTCAACTCTTTCCGGAAACCTTCCCTCACCTGGGCGGGACTTCCGGGAGTGCAGACCCGGAAAAGGCGATACTAGCCAAGGAGCTAGCGTCTGGAGTGGAGTGTGGCTTACGGGTCCGAAACCTCTCCCCACCGATTCTGAGCCTCTCTTGTGGGTGCTGTTAGGATTAAATGTGAGGAGATAAACTATATAAGAGCGTTAGCACAGGAGTTTTGCTTATTTTATTTCCATTGTAATTCGTATGAATACGCGTTTCGAATGTTTTTTAGTGCTTTTTGAAAGAAAAGCAATAGTCAGGGACTAAGAGAACAAGCTCTGGGGCAAGAGAGTCTTGGGTCTTTTATTAGTTAAGTGACCTTGGCCCCTCTGAGCCTGTAAAGTGGGGACAGTAACAGCAGTACGTCATAAGGTTTTTAGAATTAAATCAGTTAACTATTGACAGCGCTTTGCATGGCACTGACAGGCATTCAATAAACGGTAGCAAATTAAGAGGGAAATAAAATGTTCTAATCTGCATAAAATATATTTAAACAAATTATGTTGGTTAAAGAAATGTTGACCAGGGACGTCATGGGGTACGTGGCTCAATACAGGCCTTTTGAAAAGCAAAAAATGACCTACTGCCCCCTGACAAAGCTAATGACGACTTGTCCCTGAGAGAGAGCTCAGTTTATCCACTAGAAATACAAGGAGCTTCTTTAAATGGGCAGGATCCTTCACCTGAAAGTTCCAGTCAAATCTGAAGCTGGTTCTGTGGAAGATTACCAGTCAACTGTGTTAACACATTTTGTCCTTGAAGTAACCTTCCCCAAAAGGATCAGAAGAACTGCAGATCTGCTTACACCTTTCCTTTCCAGGGCTTAAACCCTGAGAAGATGATGACATTACCATCCCCATGAGTATTCAAAATAATTATTGGATACAATGAAAGGGCAGTCTACAGAATGGGAGAAGACATGTGGAAATCATCTGATAAGGGGTTAATATCCAGCATATGTGAGGACTCATACAACTTAATAGCAAAAAAAAAAATCTGATTTAAAAACGAGTGACAGGGAACCATAGTCAATATCTTGTAGTAACTTATGGTGAAAAAGGATATGAAAATGAATATACAACTGAAGCATTGTGCTGTACACCAGAAATTGCCATAACATTGTAAACTGACTATACTGCAATAAAAATACATTAAAGGGAAGATAAATAAATTTTAAAAAAAGTGACAGACCTGAATAGACATACTTCAAAAGGAGATATACAAATGGCCAACAGGTATTTGAAAAGGTGCTCACCATCACTGACCGTTAGGGAAATGCAAATCAGAACCACAATAGGGTATCACTTCACACCTGTCAGGATGGTTTTTATCAAAAAGAGAAGAGATAACAAGTGTTGGCCAGGATGTGGAGAAAAGAGAGCCCTGGTGCACTATTGGTCGGAATGTGAATTGGTGCAGCCATTATGGAAAATAGTATAGAGTTTCCTCAAAAAAAAAATTTAAAAACAGAACTACCATATGATCCAGAAATTCCACTTCTGGGTATATAGCCAAAGGAAATTAAATCACTATGTCAAAAAGATACCTGTACCCCTGCATTATTTACAATAGTCAAGACATGGAAACGACCCAAGTGTCTATTAATGGATGAATGGATAAAGAACATGTTTTATATATATGTATAACACACACACACACACACACACACACACACACACACACACACAAAAGGGTAGCTATGTGTGGTGATAGATACATTAACCTTGTGGTGGCAATCATTTTACAATATATACTTAGATCAAATCACTACATTGTAAACTGTAACCTTACACAATGTTATATATCAGTTATATCTCAATAAAGCTGGGAAAGAAACCAAAAATAATCGTAAACTTTAAAAGAAGTTCAGAAGTGCAATAAAATATTGATTTCCACCCCCCTTTGGTGACTACTTTGATCCTTTTAAAAAAATACTAAATTCCATGCAGAAAATAAATTTTGGTTCTTCTATTTCACTGGTTCCCTAGGCTCATATGTGTCAGATAACCCCAACAGTTTATACCTTTAAATACAGGAAGAATCACTTTTGGTCATATACTCAACTCTGAGAGCTGGGTGAAGAAATTAGGGAAGGCCTGGGTGGTCATCAGGGTGTTTCCAGGGCACAGTGGGCCTTTCTGCACTGATGCTCTGGGTCACATTTCACACCTGGTGTATGAAGACAGCAGCTGGGGCTTCCCCATTCTGAGGTCATTACTGGAATCTAAGTCCCATGAGTGCAGGGCTTTGTTGGTCAGGTTCTCTCACATATCATTAGCTCCCAGGAAAGGGCCTGGCGATTATATTAGGAAATTAGGAAGAACTCAGCAGCTTAAATGAGACTGTGGCCTTGCAATTAAACAGGTGCCAAATTCAATCAAGATGCCAATGAAGGTGTTGTCAGAGGGAGGGGTCTGAGTGGTACCTTTAAAAGGGTAGGTCGGAGAGTCAGGGGCAGAAAAGTGACTCCAGACTTGGAGCAAAGGGAGCTGACACCAGGACAGCAGGGAAAGCGGTGGTTGCAGCAGTGGATTCCAGAGATCAGGGACACCAGCAATTAATAGACTCCAGCCACTTCCTCCTGCTCGATTGCTGTGGATACAAACTACCCCCAAACCCAGTGGCCTGAAAACCATTTCAATCACTGTACTGGCCACAGTTTTGCTCCCTGGGGACGGCTCATCCCTTCCTCACGGTGGCCGCCAGGGCCACTCGGTGGTGGGTGGAGTACCCAGCAGGGCCTCACTTGCAAATTTGGGCTGTGGGCTGGGTCCATGAGGCCTCTCCCTCCACTGGTCTCACTCAGGCAGAGCCTCCTTCCGTGGTGGCCAGCTTCCAAGGTGGCAATTAAGTGCAACTCAGTGCTTCTGAGGGGTTAGGCTTGGAAGTCAGTGCAAGGCACTGTCAACACCTACCCAGATACTATAGTTTAAAAAAAAACCAACAACTCTGGTGTATTTTTTCAGATACCAGGAGTGTAAAAAAATTTTTTTAGGTGGGTAAGACTGTCTCAGGCTCTGAGAGGCTGCAACTCTGCTACAGTTAACGCCTCCCAGCTTTACTCACCTTTGGGTCCACAGGCCCAGAGGCTTGGTGGCAGCTCGGTAAGTGTCTGCTGATGGCATAGAGGACCACCTAGCGTCAGTCTGCTCCTGCTGCCGAAACGTAACACCACGGACTGGGGGCTTAAACAACAGAAATTCATCTCCTCACACTTCTGGAGCCTGGAAGGCTGGGCTCTCGGGGTCAGTCGGGCTGGCTTCTTCTGAGGTCTCTCCTTGGCCACCTTCTCCCTGTGTCCTCACGTGCCTTCTCCTCTGCGGATCCCTGCTGTTTCTCTGCACATCACCCTCAGCTTTCCCTGTCTGCTGCCCTCCACCCTCAAAGGGAGAACTTTGTCCCTCTTTTTCTATGCTCCCAGCAAGTAACTCTGAACCAGAGAGTCTGGAATGAGGGGTTTGGTTTCCTCAGAGACTTTTGCCCAGAGACGGAGAGGCTGTGAGGCAACTACCTCTCCACCTGACTGGAATATTCTCAGATGCAGGGGGACCAGCCCCTCCCTCATCCGGCAGGTGCTCTCAAGGGACACCAGGCTGGAGCGTTAAGTCTTCCAGCTTCTCAGCGCACGTTTAGATCCATCCCAGATCCTCCGTCAAGCATTTTCTGGGTGGCTCCTACAACCTGCCTGCCCTGCGGCCCTCCCTCCAGGTCCCTGGGGCAGAGTGGGGACTGGTCCCTCCCAGACTGGTCCCCGCGCAGGGTCGGCTCAGCGGGAAACGTCCCCGCGGAGAGCGATACGCGCCTTCGCCACTAGAGGGCCCCGAGGCGCCGCAGTCAAGAGGGGAGCGCGGGCCGCGAAGGAGCGGCCCCGCCTTCAGTGCCCGCTGTCGAGAGCGTGTTTCTAGCGCGACCAAGAGCTAAACACTCTGTCGCCAAAAACAAAAAGGCACCATATTTCACCAAGGCGCTTACAGACTGGCGGGAGGCTGGCAAATGTGAACCGTCCTGTTTTCCCCCTCACACATCAATTTACCTTGAAAATGTCCAACGTTCATTAAACACTCCGGCCTCGATCCTACCCGTCACGTTTGCTGTGCGTGTGTCATGGGCACGGCTACCGGCTGTCCAGCCCTCCAGCCACCAACGGTCTATGCTGTTTCTTACGCATTTAAACGCAGCGAGGCATGTTCTTTTGACTAATTTTCTTTTGCGGGGGGGGGTTCCCCTTCCCCACTTCAGACAGCTACCTTTAAGGCCCCGGCGGAGGGGTGTGGCCAGGATGCAGGAAACAGCAGCCCGGGGTCTTCCTTGCTTCCGGGAAGAGAGGATTTGCTGGGGAGACAAGATGTCTCTGGCAAAAGGGTGAAGGCACAAAGGATTCTCTGTGAATTAGGGGGAGTCTCTGAGAGCAAAGGCAAATGTGCTCCATTCCCTGGGCAGAGCCCCTGAAGGCCGCGGGACAGCCAGGGGGCGGCCTCTGGGCATCTTGACCAAGATGATGATTGTCACAGAGCCCTGCAGCCCGATGACTGAGGGCCAGATGGGCGCCCCTATTCTCCTTGACAGTGTGTGGGCCTCCTCTCAACCCCACATCATGGACATACCTGGGTCCATCCAAAATTAATGTGTTGAAGCCTTAACTCCCAGGACCGCAGAATGTGATCGTATTCCAAGATAGGGTCTGGAAACCGGTAATTAAATCAAAACGAGCCATTAGGGTGTGCCAATCTGATCCAATCTGACTGGTGTCCTCGTAGGAAGAGGAGACTGGGACACAAAGGAAACA